GGGGGGGGGCAGATCAAGGTCTTCATAGTAAGGGAAGGAGTGGCGCAGAGGTCAGGCGCAGGCCAAGAACTTATTTCCAATGCTGCCTTCAGCTCCCTGTAAAGGCAAGATCTTAATTCTGATCTCCCTTTTTTGCACTTTAGATATTGGCTAAATGCTTTTATTCTGCCCAAGGCAAGATCTCCATTTGATCATGACTGCAAGAACAGGTTTCACGCAGGAAGCATGGTTACAAATGCACTGAAATATTCAAAGTTTAAACCAGGGGTGGGCAAAATATTGAATATGGGTGGCAGCCAGACTCCATTTCCCAGAATCCCCCACCCCTGCTGCTGCAGCTAGTTTCCATGGAGACCCCAGCAGGGGCACCACTGTGACAGCAGGGGGTCAGAGACCCTGACCCGCACTAGCAGAGCAGGGAGCTGCGTGGGGAGCTGCTCCCTCCTGTCAGTGCTGCTGGGACCACTCTCTATTGAAACCTGGGCCCTGTACTATCATGGTGGTGCTGCTGGTGGAAATCCATGGAAATCAGCCCACAGTGACACAGGAGAGGCTGCTTGGAAATGGAGTCCAACTTTGCCTGCCCCAAGGTTAAACCAATACTTCTCAACCATTTTCAATTCAGGGCACCCTTCCTTAATTTTTAGTTTTGCAGCAGCCCAGTTGAAAAGCATTGTTGTGCTGCCAGAGGTGCAGGTGGAACTGCCAATGTGTGGCATGCACTTCCAGGTAAGACTAAAGCAGGCAGGACTTCTCACTCTTGCTGTAGCCCTTCCCAATCCAACCCCCAATACACTCCTGTAGAAGATTCACAGCCCCCCTCAACAACCCAGTCAAGAACCACTGCATTAGACTTTACAATGTATTTGTGCAGATGTTTATTGGTTAGTGACATCTGGGGACAGAGGTTGGTGTGGACACAGTTAGCAAATTAACTAGCAATTTCTTTGCTTTAGTAATTATCAGGGATCCAGCTTTTCCATTTGCCATGGAAATACACGGATTTTCCCCTATAAAAGAGAAAAATGCAAGAAACTGTGGGTTTCCCCTTGCAGGCTGGCAGAGTTCCAGCCTGCAATGGGCTGCTTAGAGCTGGGGGGAGTGGGACATAGGAGTCAGGGGGTGCCACATGCATATGCACATGCACACATACGCATGGCAGCCAGGCAGGGGGGTGGAAGGGGCAGGTGGAAAGGGCACAGACAACCCTGGGGTGGGGGG